TTTAGAAGCAAAAGTTTCTGGTTTCTTTGGAAATTTGAAAGAGTTGAGAGAAGGCATGTCCGGATTGCTCATTTTGACGGGGAATCAAGTTGATTGCATTTGTTAATTGCATAAGGTGAGTGGCTCAAATCTTTGTTTCATAAGATTTCATCTTCTGTATGTTAAAATCTGTTTTGACTCTTGAATTTGGTATTAACTGGATTTGGTTTTAAAACCAGATATAGTGTTCGGATTGGGAAATACCGGTCATAATGTTGACCGGATTGTGTGTTAGTGAGATTTTGAGTTATGAATCCGAACATGGTCTTGACCGGAGAAGTAGGAATACGGTCCTATTGTTGTCCGGATTTGACTTAATCCGGTTGATGTGTTGTCCAGATTAGAGTTATGCGGCCATAGTATTGGCCGGTGTTGTGTAAATCCGGCTATGACTTGACCGGATTCAATTGTTATTATGTTAGAGTGTTGACCGGATGTGTAATCCGGCCAAGGCTTGACCGGAGTTGAAGTCCGGTCAAGTAGTTTTGTTGACCGAATATGTACTTTGGTTAGAAATATTTTGATGACCGGTTATGGTATTGAGTATCTTGTTTCATAAGTGAATTTTGTTAATGATATATCATTCTTTTAATAAATAAAAAGTACTCAATATTTATGTTGGAACAATTTTTGGATAAGACACAGGTAATGATCCATCAGGATGTGTGTGACTTCGGCCTATCCTGTTTGGGAATAATGTATAAATTTTGATGAGGAAATAAGGGTGGCATATCAAGGAGAAGTGTACTTTGGGATAAGGTGGCATATCAAGAAGAGGTGTACTTTGGGATAAGGGTGTCATATCAAGGAGAAGTTTACCTTTGAATATAAGGGTGGCATTTGTGTGTGTGTGTTATATGATATAACTCTTACTATAATATCCTTTAAGATTACGATGGCTTTGTATCCTTATTTCTTTGTGATTTAAAGATTCAGGATTATGGTTCTTATTGGAAATCGTAATAAGGATGTTATTGAGGAAACGATAACTGGCCTTTGGCCAGAGGCTTTGAATAAACCTTGTTTTTGAATAAAAGGTTTAAAGTGATGTGTTATGTGAAACCTGAAAGGTTCTAGCCTGTTTGGCTTGATATGTTATTTATAAAGTCAAGTGATTGGCTTTAGAAATCGGAAAGGTATGGGTAATGTGGATTACATGTTTATGTTTTTGTTTACATGAAAAGTTGATTTTAAATAAAGTTTTGGTGATCTTCACCCTGCAATGATATGGAAAAAGGGATATCACTAGACCTTCCGGTCTAACCCTCATTTTTTATTTTAAAATATGTATTGCAGGAACTGCTGATGGGGAAGGGGAAAATGTGATATTTTCCTATGTGCATATCTTTGTGAAGATCAGTTCATGTTGCATCTAGTTTAGTAGATGGATGTTGATTAGTACAAGAAATGTAATTTGGAATTTTTGGACCATGTATTTTGTATAATAATTTCTTGTACTTTGGGACCTAAGTGATGTAAGACATGTATTTCTTGTGAATGAAGTATATGTTACATGCAATGTGTGATGCGGGGTGTATCATCAAGTGTTTGTTGTTGTGATTCAAAATCTCTCTAACTATAAGGTATAATTTCAAAACACCCAATTTATTTCGGTTTGTATGGGTCCTTGGAGGGTTACGGTTTTTATTTTCCACTATGCTTGAGGTCCCGTAACCCAACAATATGTTTTGTCTCCTAAATCCTTCATAGCAGAACACTTTCCTAGCCAGGATTTTACACCCTTATGTGTTGGGATGTCATTTCCGATGATCAATATATCATAGACATATAGGATCAGGATTACTACCATGCTCCACTGACCTTCTTGTATACACAATGTTCATCTTCGTTATTTACAAAATTAAATTTTTTGATTTCTCATCAAAACAATCTACAAGATGCTTACTTTAGTTTATAAAATGGACCTTTGTAATTTGCATAATTTTTCAGGATACTTTGGATGTTTAAACCTTCAGGTTGTACCATGTACACGTCCTCGCTCAAAGTTTCGTTATGGAACGCAATTTTAACATCCATTGGTCATATCATAATCATGATATGTAACTATGGCAAGAAGAATCTTGATGGCTTTCATCATAGCTAGCGGAGAAAATGTCTCAACATAATCAACTCCCTCATTTTTAGTGAAACATTTTGCTAGCAACCTAGCTTTATAAGTATGTACAATCTCATCCATGTCAGATTTCTTTTTAAATACCCATTTGTACGCAACAACTTTGTAGCCGGCAGGTGCATCTATCAAGTTCTAAACTTGTTTGTCTATTCATGGATTATATTTCAGTCTTCATGTCATCATGCCATTTATCATATTTCAAACCTATAGAAAGATAAGCTCTTAGCTCGCACTCAACCCTGTGCTTTTGTCCATATTTACTATACTGAGGAACAATGGTCTCCTTTCCCTTTATCTGTAGCCATTGAGGTTACCTTGGCCTTCTTAACTGTCTTGCTCGAACCTTCCCATTTTCGGTTGTAATCTTTCCTTTCAGCTGATGTTGTAGCATTGTTCTCTTCGACTATTATCACCATCTCTACAGCTTGAACTTCGCCTTCGGGCATTCATGTCAACATATTGCTTTATCTCCATTCAAAGACCGTCTTAAAACGATCTATCTTCCTCTGCTTAGTCACCACTTGGTAACTAGAAAGCCTGGACTTTTCCAAAAAGTCATTGATATATTCCTAGACTAGACTGAGGATGACCCTTTCTCTAACCTCAATAATTTTGACTCCAACTTCTTCACCTCTGACTAGGAGCAGGATTTTTCCATCATCAAATTCTTCATTTGCTCCCAAGACATGGAGGCAATTTCCTTGTCTCTTCTAACCTCGCACTCAATATCCCACCAATGAAGTGTAGAGTCTACAAGGGTAGTGGTCGCATATGTCATCTTCTGGTCCTAAGAATACTTACATATTTTGAAACAACTCCGCATTTTCCTTATCCAATTCGTTTCGGTCATTGCGCCCTAGATACCCTTATATTCCTTTGGATGTGTGTTACTTAAGTCCTTATAACTACAGCCTTTCTCTTTTGCAGATAGAACCCATTATCTTATTCTCCGCATGTCACCCGCCTCAATATCCTCCTCGTTACTTGTTTTAGAATCTTTTTGGTCACCTGTCTCGGTATTTTTCTATTCAATCCCCACGTCTTCTGCCCGTTTCTTTAGCATGTCCTCTAACATTGTTTCTATCATACTAGGTAGGGTATTTTGAAGGATTTACGTCATCCTATCAGTCATCGTCTCCTCAGTCATGAGATTTTCACCTCCCCCTCGTCATGCCTTCCCTCGTCCTCAACCTCGACCTACGACGGTACTAGCATGTACAGACCAGGTGGCACTCGAACTAGCGGTATGATTCAGCCCTGACCTCGGTCTCGACCTCCCCCCATCAATGGCACCATGTTATTGGCACCTTCTCCTACGAGTTCGGTCCTCCTAAGTCCTCTAGACACCATACTGATACAATAAGGCACTATTAATTTCTATAATAGTTCATATCTGACCCAGAATATATTATCACATCTCATAATCCAAACACCAAACACATATCCAAACACCAAACACATATCATGGATATAATATGTAAATAAGCGACACGATAATATAGAAAAAAAAATGAGTCATTACATAACCCTACTACGTACGTCCCTCACGACGTACAAGATAAAGTTTCACTGAACATAAATATAATGAAAATAAGATAAGTATGTCCAACGCCGGCTATACATGAACGGTCCAAAATCCAAACTCCCAACATAAACATAAATACCAAAACATGACTCTCTCTGCCTCCTCGTGGGTCCGCTTTAGACAGTACCTCTAAAGAAACCTCAAGCTCGGGCCCCGTAGGAACAAGCATCTCCAGCGAAAAATTACCCTTGAATCATGCCAAAGTACTCAAATAAATAACCAACAATTTAAACCCAACTTAGAAAAATGGAAGGAGGTTTATAATCATGATAGGTATCTCATAAAAATATCATATAATCAAGGAAACCCACGAAATCACAGCAAAGGATTGATTTTCAAAAATCAATATCAATTCCCCCATAAATTCCACTCAAAACTAAACTATCCAAAACTTGGAGATGGAAAAAGAAATAATGCAAACCTTAAGATTTGAATTTCCAACAAAAATATCGTCAAAAGATTTGGTCGACTGGGAACAGCACCCACAAAGATTTTCTTAAAACACACACACTTTACACTCACGCTTCTAGGAACACGAATAGAAGATGGTAGGCTAAATTTCAAACCAAACCCTCAACAACAAACAAAATACACTAAGGCCCATAAACTTACAAGTCAAGCCCAAAATTGAAGAACCAAGATATTACAAAATTACAATACACCTTATAATCTAAGGTCATGGAAGTAACCGAATGACAACCCTAATTGGATCACCCACCTCCCTTGTGTCATTCGAGTTGGGATACAAGGTGACTCTGCTTTTTCAAGATAAGGGAGGATAGAAAAAATGCCTCGAGCCAATATTTGAGGACCAAACACTACAATACAAGAATAACCCATGTCATACTCCCAAGAAAAACTCAAAAGACCTTCAACAGAAGGGTACATGTACCAAATCAACATAGTTGGGCATACTAGGTAGAGAACCTAGGGGTGCAAGACAATTCTCAAAGGAACTCAGCAAAATAGCCTCGTAACTTCTGAAGAAGGGATGCCTCCCCCACAAAGGGGATCTTAGTGACCAGACTTGGATGATTGTTTACCAAATAGGGCAAAAAGACAATAAAAATGTATCATATAGGTCAATTTCTATCAAACGAGTGGCTTCATGCCCCCGACCAATTTTGGGCACCGGTTTCAGCTTTCGACAAGAAAATATATTACATGTTTGCATTTTGCACTTGCTAGCTCAAGAGCAAATTTTGCGGGAAATGTTTGCATACATCTTACAACAATAGCTCCAGCTTAAACAACAAATCTATTTGGAATCGTCAAATTTTTAACCAAAGAGACTGATATAGTAATTCACTAGAGTAAATGGGCAGTCTCAAACGTACCATATTAAGTAGACAAACATATATGCTCTGGAATAAGAATGCTTATGGTAGAAGAATTACATAATATGTTGAAACACCCAACAACAAAAGGTTTTCAAACTCAAATCAACACTACCAGTAATCAAGTCGATAGCAACCACCAAATTTCAAATATAAGAGCTAATCATCATCATCAAGCACACTCCGACGCCTGTGGATCTAACCAAATACAAATCAAACTCAACTTCAGTTTCAGTTAAACTAAAGTAAACCAAACAAAGACAGTATATTCCCCCCGAAAGTAGGGTATGGGAGGGGAAAGGTTCTAAACGACATGAGATTTGGTGTGGCAGCAAGGTCAAGCCTCCAGCCTTACAAGTTGCAGAGAGGCTACAGCGTTTTTGAAGGTATACATGTATGATATACTTGTACGTATTAGTGTTTTGAATAATATCATAGAACAATTAAATTAATATCAAGTTATGAAACTGAAAAAGAAAGGAAACCCATTTATATCAAATATATAGAGCTTATAAGAAACTGATATCAAGAGTACAAAATCGGGATTAAATGTCTTTGAGTCTTACTAACTACTTTCTTCAATCTTCAAGGAAATCATGTTCAACTCGCTGTGAAAGGGAATGGGAGTAAGGATTTACCTATCTAGGGTTTTAGTTTTTAAGTTTCCTTTTTATGTTTATTTAAGTCTCAGGTCCAATACATAATTATCATTATCCCCCAAGTTATATATTTAAAAACAATATTCAAAAAAAAAACCCAAGCCTTACAAAATAATGTGTCACAACATGTTACAACGCAAGCCAAGCCTTGGAGTGGAGCTACAAAGGTTAACATGGCAACCAAGCCAAGCCTCAGCACCATAATGCGCCATAACAAGTTATTTAGAAGGGGAGGAGTAGGATGTTCAGGACTTTACCTCAACCCCTAGAGTTGAGAGGATGTTCCTGTCAAGACATCCGGGTTGTGGCAGATTTAGTAGTGTGTGCAAGCAGGAAAAAAGGAAAAAAAACAGATAGATCATGTAAAACATGAATACAGCAGAACTAGTAAAAGTATATTTAGTAACGACATAAACAAGCACATTGGTGAATCAAGGTCAGTTCCTAAACTCAGTTTCAGATGATCAGTCCATTTTTTAGACATTTACATCAAATCATGTAGAGTGGTACTCATATTTACATATGATATTCAGGGGGTGCTTGGTTGGGGATAATAGAGGGTGGAGAATAAAGACGGAAATCATTAATGGAATCTGGTTGGATGCAACAAAATTGACCATTACCAGAGATTTGGTAAATAGAACATTCCTCAACAAATTAAAGAGAATGAAACAATTCCCATTTGCATACCCCGGCATTCCCATTTCAATTTCTATTTCCATTTTCATTCCCTGAGCACCCCCTTAAGCTTTCTTTCATAGTGTGTCCACCTATCACTTAACCTTCATAAGACGACCCCAAAGTGTCATGTATACAACCACAAAATATTATCTTCTACTTATCATGCAGATTGCCCACCCCAAAAAACATTATCAACTGTGCAGAAGTATCATGGTGCTAGATATTTATGTGGCCAACAGACATAGCTCACTAGCAGCCAGCAATTCAAGGACATCGGGTATGCCTGGGTGTGTTTTCATCAGTGTCTAAACCAAACCAAATGAGCCTCAACAAATTAAGGGTAGGCCTTATCATGCAGATGCCGTAGAGCACATTATTCAACAATGGGACAAGTTAAGGTGGGGCTTTTTTCTAGAACTGAGCGATTTACAATTCACCATAACATTAATGCTCTAGGTTTGATAATTCAGAAGTAAAGATATCCAAAACCGAGCTCACAAGATGTTAGTTGCATTTGTATTGTGATGACTAAATCTTACTTAAGCATAAACAAAAAAATAGATATTTAAATTGTAACAAGGCAGGTGCAAGAAAGACAACCAAAACCAAATTATACTTACTGTAACTTTCGTCTGTTTGGTTGTTTGGTTGTTGATTTGTTCCAACAATGATATGAGCCTCTCTTCAGAAACCTGCATTTGGTTATCATGTATATATATAAACAAATCAATACACAGAATGGATGCTTGCTGTAAATAAAGGTAGCTCACCATGAAAATTTCACAGATCAATAAACATTAATGATATAATTAACATGTATCTAGGTGGCAGTAGCTACCTTCTCGGCAATCTGACCCATTTGAGCAGCCCTTAATATAACATCTTCAACTCCACGGGCCTTCTCAGGTTTCACTAACGCTATTCGAGCAACTGTATATACGCAAATGATACATTCAGCCAAATAATATAGCCCCAATGGGTACATCACTATAGATCATATATTTCACATCAATAACAAGCAATGATAACACCAGTGTGTGTGTGTGTGTGTGTGTGTGTGTATATATATATCGATGGAAGGAGATCTTTAATTAGTAAACAGCAAGCTACAGTCAGAAAAAGTAAATATGACTAAGTAGTCCAATATTGCCTCAATCCTCTACTATCAAACCAAAACTCTCGAATCATTTCATTAAAATAACATTCTATTATATTCTCTTATCCTTAATTCGACCCATCAAATTGACTGGTCCTTCTAGCAAAGTCTAAACTTACCAAGTTGAAATTCCTTTTTGAAGGCATCATGAATATTACTAATATGAGCCAATCACCTTTTTCAGACACTAGCATGTCATCATCATTGTTTTATAAACAAAGTTACAGTGTGAAGATAACTATCCACTGCAAAAAACTTTAAAAACAGTTATAGTATAAAGAACTGCCTTTCTACCAAATTTCCACTCCAAAAATCAAGTGTTTCTTGTATTAGAAGCACTGCATGGCAATGTTATGAAAGGCCAGAATTGCAAACAGCCTCTCCTGATATAGTTGAAGGATAAGTTTGTAGAATGGTAGTGAGGCCAGGCATGATCTAAGGGACAGCATTTGAGCACCAAAAGATGAACATATACACAATATAGTTGTAGCAGAAATACGAACATTGAGGTCAAATATGATTAGAAAAAAAGATGTTATGGAAAAGGATGGGTGGTTCCAACTAAAAAGAATTTCAATGCATCATGGCTTTAGATGGTTCGTCATGTCAGCTTATATCATTGGATGTATTAGGAGACTTGTAGTGGAAGGTCTAGATTAAGATACGAAAAGAATCGATAGAAATTTGAGGATCTCAAGAACATATCTAAGAATTTGCTATAAATAAGAGAGCACGGAAAGATGCTATTCATGTTTGGATGTTACAAAACAATTGTATGTAATCTCTTTTTTTCCTCATCAGTACCATTTTTAGCTTACCAAAACCAGCTTTGGGGATAAAGGGTTTTGAGTTGTTACTGTAAGATGAATTATTAAGTATTAACTTACATTGGGAGATAGAAAGAGAGATAAAAAGAAGAACACAAGCACATACATACGCATAATCCTAAGAAAATATAAAGGCATATTTGATACTTCGCAAGTAGCACATTGTTTAATATTGGTCTTTCCGGCAAATTGCACCAAAATGGAACCAACTTCGCTTTCTTTCTTGTTTGGGGAACCAACTCTGAAAACCTGCATTTTGAGGAACCAACTTTTAAAACTTCTCATTTTAAGGGATCGGGTGACCAAACTCATGTTCCCCAATATAGAAATATTTTCCAAGATAGAAAAGAGAGCAAAGTTGGTTCATTTTGGTTCCCCGAAATGATGAGTTTTGAAAGTCAGTTCCCCAAAATAGAGATTCTGAAGGTTGGTTCCCCAAAATAGAAACAAAGACAGTTTGTTCCATTTTGATGAAATTTGCCTTTGATCTAACAGAAGTTTAGCATAATCTAATCGCTTTCCAAATGGTGCACACAGATTAGGCTGTGTATACAAATGACAAGGATGCCAGATACAACAATAACACGCATGAACCAAACTTTTAACAAATGAAGACAAAGGTCTACGTGTCACAAACAGGATGCAAGTCAAAAAACAGGTGTGTATGTTAGCCATGCAGAGGTCCAAAGTGAAATACAACTGGTAAGAGATTATTATTGGGTTACTATCCCCCCTTGGTTTTAAAAAGCGCGATGCGGTCCGATGCGTTAAGGGTCTCGGAAGCCGATGCGTGATGCGTGATGCTGATGCGCTCGCATCACGCACGTGATGCGCCCGGTATTCAAAAAATATTTATAAATTAATTCTACATATCAATTTCTACCTTAAAAATACTTACCTATCAAGACTGCTACTGTATCGAATCGACTACTGCTGTTGGTATCAACTCAGGTCGTGTTTTAATTGACTGCTGCTGGTTCGACTTCTGCTATCAATTACTTCTACTTCTTTGCTGTCGGCTTCTATCGATTAGGTCGCTAACAGTAACGTTCTATCGCTAACAGTCACTCACGTTCTATCTTAGTTAATTAAGAAGCCCAAGCCCAACTAAAAAGCCCAAGTAAACACTGAAAAAGGGAGCCCAAAAACGCAACATACATGATGCACTGATGCGTAAGTGATGCACGCATCGTGTGATGCGTAGGTGATGCGATCGCATCCTGGAATCGCAATGCATCAGACTCCTTGATGCGTTTTGTTCAGCGCATCAGAGCGCATCGCGCATCACAGCGCATAATGCGCGCATTTTTAAACCAAGTATCCCCCCACCAAAAAAGATCCTGAAAAAGAATTTATGTTTGCGTTTTGAGTGTGAAACAGACTACTCCTTCGCTTCAACATTGATATAGGTTTCTGAGTCATAATATAAATATTGACAGATAAAATACAAAAATGATCCTGTTACAAGGTACACTATCCATACCAATTTTGAGTTTTGAGAAGCACTAGGCATGATTTCAAAATCATGTGTGCTCGTTTTCCAAAACTACAAACCTGATATCTTGTATATTGAAGATACCACCCCCCCATCGGAAGACCCCATCTCCAGGTGGGATATTCTGGGTTTGTTTGGTTTGATTTATAGTTAAATTGGTGCATATCCATCATTAAGGTAGTTTGGATTCATAACAATTAACCATCCTAAATTTCAAGAGTAATTGTCTAAAAATGGTACTGATGAGGAAAATATAAAGGCATATTTGATACTTCGCAAACCATCCTAAAGCTTCTGAAAGGCTCTCAGCTATATATATACGTGGACACAATATAGAGAGAGAAGTAGTCATGGATATAACTATTAACACTAGGATCTTCAACAATAATAGTTATATCCATGACTACTTCTCTCTCTATATTGTGTCCACATATATATATAGCTGAGAGCCTTTCAGAAGCTTTAGGCCATTGCCAGAATTGTTTCCCTACATTGTGAAGTAAGCAACATAGAAATCACACCTATAGTTCAGAGAAGAAAATATCTCTATGCCCAGGATATCATGTTACTCTAGGTTTGCTTCCACCATGGTCCTTTACAAAAATATTTGTATCCTTTACAGGATATCACGTTTCTCTAGTGAAACAAACTAAATGTAGACATCCAAAAATGTTGCAAACTCTTTTATATTGTGTTAATTTTTTCAGAAATAAAGGTCAATCCAAAATAGAACGAAAAAGGTTACGGAGAAAGAAGCAACAATGAAGTTAAGAGTTAAAATATTGTAAATCAAATTGCAAGCTTCTGCAAATGACATTACTATGCTCATAAATTTCATTTTTTTTGTTCCATCCGATGTAATTAAGTCTATGCTGTTACAGCAATCAAAAATCTGAAATAGCGGTCAGGACAGTGATTTGATATCGCGGCTATCACAATGGTAAATACGGTGGTATAGTGGTCTATATAATAATTAGAATTATATATGCATAACTTAAAGAGTTAAGATATTATATGTATCAGATAAAAATATATAGTTTCAACATCATCAACTTAGAACAAGGCTTTGATTGAAGGAAAAAGTGGTTTATAAATTAAAAATGCAAAGACTAAACACAAAAACAAACTAAAACTATGAAAGTGATGAACCCACTAACAATTAAAACAATATGAGAGTCTTAACTGAGTCACCATAGGTTGTCCAAAAGCACATTGAGCAAAAAAACCCATAAATTCTTTTACAAAACACAATTAGAAAGAAATTTGTATAGAACCTCTCAATTGACCAATGAATGATGAAGCCACTAACAATTATAGAAAGAAAAAAAAAGAATGACTACTCATGACATTCTGGAGAAGAGGGCCAGAGAAGTAAAAACCAAAATGCATAGTCGAGTTGTGGAGCGATCTAGAGTGAAAGACAAATAGCAGTCAAATAGCGGTAAATAGAAGCACTATTAGCGGCAAAGTGATTTCCCCCGCTATTTTGCCACCGCATATATTTTTTTTGGGGGGGGGGGGGGGTGTTTGACACACAATCGCATGCAAAATACCTGTGCAACCAGCGTAACTTACATATAAGGAAGCACTTTTTGAAACTAAAATGAAGCATTTTGAAAATATGTGGAACCCCTTGATCACTTTCCAAAAGAGCCCTTGAGGAGAAATGGAGGTTCCAACATGTATATAGGAGAATTGGTCCAAGTCTAGCCGATGTGGCTGTGGGACTCCAACACACCCCCTCCAACAGAAGCTAAATGGACACAAATTGTCCTAGGGTGTCGAGAGGGGGTTAGCCAAATGGTCAAGTCCCTAGAGTGGCAGACTTTGACTCTGATACCATGTGAGAATATGTGGAACCCCCATATCACTCTCCAAAAGAGCCTTTTAGGAGAAAGGGGAGGTTCCAACATGTATATAAGAAAATTGGTCCAAGTATAGCCGATGTGGGACTCCAAGCATAAAAATAGGACATTATAGGAGAAAGTTGAAGAACTCTCCCATCAAAAGAAAACACACAGATCCTGAAAAAATATATAAAAAAGTCCAAACGCAAACCTACTTACGTCTTTCACGTGCTTGTGATGACAATATCTGACTAAGCATCATTTGCCTTTGCTCATCTGCCTCCCTGGATTTTAAGAAGTCCAAATCAGCAAGAACAAGCAAACAATAATCACTCGCTTTGTAATAAACTATATACCCACGAATCTTTTTTAGTTATTAAGTGACCTTTGACAAAGTTACCACTAATCACTAACAAAATATAGCATTCTCCAATACTTTCAATATTACATCAATAACTTAAAGCGCCTTTCAATTTACTTTAGTAGCTATGTGCACAATGTACACAAGAGCAACCATAAGTGGATTGGTAGAATGATGATAAAAACCATGAGTAGAATAATGATGTTAATGTTTCCAGAAGAAAAGAAGCATAACGGCAGTCTAGGATAACCTATTTCCTTACTCTACTAGCAACCTCAAAGGTGGACACTTTACTTTCAGACAGAGAGACTACATGAATATTAAAAAATATGAACTAATTGATGTTACTAATATAAGGACGAAAACAACCTTTTTGCTTCATCCTGGGCCTTCTGCTGATCGGGGTTTTGCTGACTTCCCTGTTTATAGCCAAGTTCCATCATAAATACCATTGTGTTCAAACTTTGAAACTAAATGACACAATTAACAGATGTTTCACTTACACCGCCTCGTTGAGCCATAAGCTCCTGCATTCTTCTTTGCCTGATAGCTTCTAGTTCTGGATCCGCCTGCAATACAACAAAGCATTGTTGTCTAAACAATCAGCCAATAGTGACAAATCATATCTACCAAATATAAATCCAAACAAATTCTTAACATGGATAGGCACACAATTTGTTCGGTTCTGATTAGTTACTATGGCGTAGCCGGTGAGAGAAAGATAAAAAATTTCAGACTGGACTGAAAACTTTCAACCATTTAATAACAATTATTGTGACAAAAAAAACTCTCTCACACATACCCTTGCCACTTATAGCACTTAAATCCAACAACCTTGAGGTCATTTGGATGGAGTCGGTACCAATAGGCCAAAGGCTACTTGGTTAACAATCTTAATAATACCTCTTTTGGCCAGTAGCTCATTGCCTACACATACTTGTCTCTTATAGGAGTTGAAAACGCATATCCATTAATATGTTTTCACACACCAAAAGAAGAAAGACTTTCATCCTCCTAAGCTTCATAATCAATTCAAGTTATTCACCTCATAGTTAATAGTCTAAGATCACAATATTTACCTCACAACGAACCAAATTTAAATATTCACAATGGTGTTTGTTATTCTTTATGAAATATATGGAAATACTCCAAAATACTGTGTAGTAGTTTCTTATTTGAGAAAAAGAGAGAGAAGTGAGTATGGAGAATCAAACACAACAGATTAAATGTCCTTTTCTTATAACCAGTGCATTGGGAAAATAATCTTCCATTTTCGCTCTTGTTTAAGTTTTAGCATTGTTGGTGTTGGGGAGTATAGAACTTGAGGATTTAGCTCTCATGTAGTTCCTATTTACACTTATCTTGCTCCCAACTACAATCTTATACCAATTTTATGTTCTTAAAGTTACACAAGAGGCAAGAAGTCCTATCTACCTCTAAAAGTCACCCCTAAAGAAAAAAAGAACAAAAATCAAACTAAAACTAGAACTAAAACGCAAATTCGTAATCCGCTAAAGCCACCCTTTTGCCCACAACAACTTAGCAGAATTCATATCAAGAAGCAAAGTAAGAACAAGTGGGTGTGCACGAACATCATATGTAAAATCATAGAAATTTGAGCAAATAGATCATAAATCCTTCAAGAACGTTAAAAATGACTATAAACTCACACACGTATACTCCTAAAGGCCATATTAATTGTAACCCTTCATAGTTTAGTCTTACATCTGAATCACCATCCATACATAAACACATACGCATATATCTATATGATCAGGAAAACTAAAGATCTTACCATTGGTTTGGGCAAAATATAAGTCTTCTTGATTTGAATTTCTCAGTGAATCGCTAAAAAGAAACACTGAAGTGGGGAAAAAGAGAGGATGGAGGTGGCGTTTATGGGACGCGTTTGGTTGCGGATGTAAAAGCGCTTATGCGTTTTGAACCTGTCCAAAAGCATACACCTAGGGGTGTAAGCGGGTTCGATCCAACCAATTATTGCAACCCTTCTGAGTTACGACGGGTTAAGTTTGCAACTTACTAAAATTCATAAAGTTAGCAATTAAAATATAATAAGTAATATTAAAAATATATTATATAAAATTATTAGTTATTACAATTATCCAAAAATATATCTAAATTCTTAAGTTTTTGGAATCAAATTTCAAAGGTTTAAATGATAGCATCCGATTCAAATCCTCAATCAAGTACGACCGTCTTGGACCTTTCCGACTCCGATATTGCATTCTCCTTGAGTTTGTCTACAATTCAAAAAGAATATTAAATCATTTATTAAGAATATATAAGCATGAAAAAAGAAGTATTGTTAAGTTTATCTTCTTAAAGAAAGTCATAAGATGAAATTTCTTCAAAAAATCACTTATTTGAATCCCCTCATTATTTCCTTTCAACCAACTTTGTATGCAAGGGCTCCACCATTTTTAGACTCAAATAGCTTGTAAATGAGTATAAAATACGATTGATAGTACAAAAGGCGGATTTAGATGTTACGGTAGATATAGGTAAAGCAAGAACAACTCTAGTTATCATAGACAAAATGTTATACCTATTAGTACTACGTCAAATGATGGAGTATTTGGATTGATAGATCCATCAACCAAATATTTATCAACGTTGTTCATGTTTTTCGGCACGTCCATTTGTTATTGTTGCAAAAATGATTCCAATAATTTTTTCCTTTGAGATTCTTTAGAATCATTCTTTGGTGGTGATTCTAGTTTGGTAGCTTATACACAAGAAAAAAACGAACATAAACTCAACAAATTATAACATATTACCATGTATAACAAAATTTTAAAAAAGAATCATGCATAAAACTAAGTAACTAACCTCGTCACCATCTTTACCACCTTCTGAATATTGATTATACTATTGATGAAGAATTTGTTCCACCTTGACAAAAAGCTTAGCAACGATTTGAGCATCATATAAGAACTCAAAACAAAACTTCAAATACTTCAACTTATACCCTAGATCAAGCACAACTGCCAAAAACAACATAGGATTGATGTGATATGGATCGCCCCAGTATTTGTCTTATTTACTCTTCATCTTAGTAGCCGTAGTGTATAGCAATGTACCATTGTTACTAGCCAAGTAACTCAATTGAGAATCAATCTCACAAAGCTCATGAAAGAAATTGTTGGAAGTTACATTCAATGTGCCACTAAACTTCAAAGTAACTTCATAAAAGTGGACAAAATAGAAGCACACTCTCAATCATTAGAAGTAGGTGGTCCAATCCTCTTCTTATCATTTTCTTTCTCCTCAAAATAACTCAAAAACTTGTCATCTTCATCTGTGTACCTTTCAAATGTCTTTTCGAATTTAAGAGCTACATCTAACATCATAAAAGTAGAATTCCATCGTGTAGGAACATCTAAAACCAACCACCCCTTGTAATCAACTTTTTCCTTCTCAATGCAAGATTTGAATATTTGCAACCTTGAAGGAGATGAACGAATATATCTAACACAATTACGAATTGTAGTAATTGAATTATGCATCTCTTTCATCCCCTCGTTTACAATTAGGTTTACTATATGAGCACCACATCTTAAATGCATGTACTCACCATAATGAACAGATCCATTCCATGCATTAACCCTTCTTTTAACAAAAGCAACAACTACTTCATTTGCAGATGATTATCAACAGTAATAGTAAAAACGTTCTCAATCCCCTACCCAAGCAAACAAGCTTCAATAACCTTACCAATTGTCCCACCCTTTTATGGTTTGAAATATGGCAAAAATTTATAATTATTTTATGTAAACGCCAACTACTATCAACGTAATGTGCAGTGAAACACATATAAGACATTTGTGTGGAAGATGTCCAACAATCAGTTGTTAAACATATTATTTGTTTGACCTTTGTCAACTCTTTCTTCAATTTAATCCTGCTTTTGAATCTGTCGTTCAGGAATAGCGACAGTCGTAGCAGTTACAGAAACTGCTGGAGAAATTGTGAATGGAACATAAGGTCCATTCTCGATGTAGTATGAGATCCCATGATCTACACCTTCCAAGAAGAGAGACATACGATTCTTCAAGAGACTAAAGTTGTCTTTGATGAAACATAGAGGTTTGGCAAGAGAGCCATTATAAGTTAGTGCTAGTGTTTTGCAAAGCCATTTTGAAAGGAATAAATCATCTAGAGAATAAAAGATAATAAAACACCAATAAAACAACAATATAACACAAAAAGCAAACATTTATCTGATACCACTTGTTGGTCCTAGCCGAATCTACAAAAGTTTATAGGTAACAGTTTTTAGAAGGAGGGGGGATGAATACAAACACATTAACTTTCACTTCTAGAAATTATATATTGATAAAGAAGATCAATACAAATTTTACAGATTTTTTGCGGAAGAGATAAGATACAAAAGCTATATAAACAATCCAAGATACACACACGATTACAAATAGCAATTAGAAAAGATTTGATACAAGAAATAAGGTAAGAAGAAATGTGCTCTTCACTTGTTAAAGTGGTCTTTCTCTTAGATAGAGAGAGAAGTAACTTCTTGGGTAAGTTCTTAGTGAGGAAGAATGATAACTGAGAGAGAAACTACTCAACTATTTATACTCATTCCATTAAATGCAATAAAGAAGGTACAAAGCATGTGGCAAGCTTTTAAAGGAAAGCTTGTCCTTTGTTCATATTTGGCAGGCTTTTGGTCGTATATGAACAGTCTTTTTTCATGAAGTAGGTAAGTACGTTTAGAGTCAAATGAGTGGCTCTATGATGTACTATACTTAGAAAGGTATGGGTTTATTCTTTGTATGTGGAGGGACAAGATAAAAACAATTTTCCTCAACAAGATTCATTTGATCGCTGGATACTGGGATAACGCTGAAAGGTTTCATCAGTGTTCGTTGAATCTTGTACATACTTCACACTTCTGTAGATAAGTTTGTTATCACTGAATACCGCTTCAGATCACGAACTTGCTGGACTCTAATCTTCAGCTTCCGTCTTCGACATTGGTGAATGATCTGTGGTGTGAGTTTTGTCTTCTTAAAGTATAACAGTCTCTGAATGATTTACAATACACGTTCAACGATCACTAAATAGACTCGGTGAAGATCACTGAAACTGAATGGCATAAACAATATACTTCGATACATAAAAGGGATTATCATCAAATTAATGAGAGAGATGATTAATAATACTTTTGGCCAATTTTGTGAATTGGTTAACTGAATATGAACAAACACATCTTCGGAGGAGAACTTTAAAACAAAGAAACATTCACTAGATTTCAAATTAGATTGATAATTATCCAACGCATCACATGTGAAAGGACATTATTTGTGTAAATGAGTTACGAATGGATATGAATTCATTTGCTATTTCAAGTTAGATGGCTAGATATCTAATGCATCGTTAGATTTATTTATTTTTAAATAGAAGTAAAAAAAAGACCAAAAACAGAACAAAAAAGAATTCATGGATCTATGTCGACTTACGTACGTCTCTAAAAACATCTCTTTCCATGTCTTCGGATACAACCCATAAGGGTTTGTCCGTTTCTTGTACATAAACCCTTGTCAGGGTTTCACGTAGTTTCAACAAGTATTAGCTCTCCCTGAAGAGGAAGTGATCCAATGAAATAACTCCTGGTGAGAAGAAAAAAGAAAGCATTAAGGGTGCGTTTGGTTTGCAGGAATGGAATGGAATTGGAGGGATTTGGATTTAAAATCCATTCCAATCTTGTGTTTGGTTTGCCAAATTGTCAGGATTTGAAATCCCGGGATTTCATTAAAATCCCCTAAACATGGGATTTGGAAATCCTTTGCAAAGGGGCAGGATTTAAAATCCAAATCCTATGTGCTTCCTCTTTTCGCTTCCTCCCGCTTCCCTTCGCCTTGCTTCCTTTCCCGTCCCCTCATGCTGCCACCATAACCTACCGGTAAATCCCTCCTCCTCACCGGTAATCCCTTCCTATCCCCTCGTTGGTGCTCCCTTCCCGTCCCCTCGCAAAGTTGTGCCCTAATCGGTCCTCCTCGCCGGTGCTCCATTCCCATCCCCTTGCGAAGCTGCGCCCTAATCGGTCCTCCTCACCGGTGCTCCCTTCCCATCCCCTCACAAAGCTGCCACCCTAACCCGCCGGTAAACCCCTCCTTTTTGCCGCCTTCTCCCATCACTCAGCAGGTAAATCTTCTGGTGGTAACCCCTTGGTTTCTTTCTGATAATTATGTTCAAACTATCATACCTATGTTATATTACGTTGATTGCATCAAGAAACTGATGTATTCATAAGTTTAATCAAGAAACTTATGTATTCATAAGTTTAATTACACTGACACTTAGAAATGCTTAATTAATTGACTACTTGAAGAATTGTTATTTAAGTCTATTATCAACCATAGAGAAAACTGATGCATTTAGTTATATGCATAAACCCATTTGCCTTCTTAAGATGCATTAGGTCATTCAGAGAGCTTAAGTCACTCTTCCATCTTCCATTGTCAGCCTTTTTTCCATCTTCCTTTTGTATTTTTCTACACTGCACAACTAGCCTAGTATCTCTTGGTGCAAATGCTTTCTAATTTTGATATAGAATTGGAGACAATGAAAATTCCATAAACATGCATATGTATTCATAAGTTTTGGTTTTTATCTAGGCTTAAAGGGAGTTTCCATGATCTCCTTGGCAATCATATGATCAGCTGCTTTACTGCTTTACTGTTTCACAGATACACCATCTATATGACTTACTGCTTACTCTTTCTTAGTTTGCCTTTCCTTTTGGTCAAAGGATTCATAAAGGTTTTGGAAATAGTAACTCAATTGGTGAAAAGAGGTCTTAAATTTGAAGTAGCATACACTTTGATTGTAGTGGGATAACAGTAATTACATAAGGTAGTTGTCACTTTGATTGTAGTGGGATAACAGTAATTACACTTTGATTGTAGTTGGATTAATAGGTTTGTT